TGCATATGCCCTCTCTTCTTATCAGCTGGACGCTTCACTCTCCACTCCAGTCCACCATGGCCATGTCAGTGACTCTGGGCCCAAGAGTCCCCAGGTTTTGCCTCACTGCTGGCCAACCACAATCCCTTAATTTTTGGTGATCAGTCAGTGGGCTACACAGTGCCATGAATTACAGGGTAAAATTTGGACACTATCCTTTCAGAGGTTATCTTTAAAGAGAAAGGACAAATTACTCCAAGAATAAAATGCTGATTCAGTCTACTAGGAAGTCCCAAATGCTTTATTTGGAATTGCTGTCCACTCAGATTTCCAAACTGGGATCACTGCCTAGCCTCAATTGGAAGAGCAAAGCACAAGGTGGCAATAAGAAATGTTTGTTGTTATAAGTAGATATATGCACACCAATGTTCATAGCAGCACTATTTACAATAGCAAAAAGATGGAGACAGCCTAAGTGCCCATCAACTGAAGAATGGATAAACAAACTGTGGTACATATATACAATGGAATATTATGCTACCTTGAAGAACAACAAGGAAGCTGTAAGCCACAGCATAACATGGATAAACCTTGAGGACATTATGTTGAGTGAAATCAGTCAGTCCCAAAAGGAGAAATACTGCATAGGACCACTACTATAAAAGACTAAGAAAAAGAACCACTAATGCAGGGAGGTGGGGGAATTCTTTGCTGGTTACCAGGATGCAGGGGGTGGGGTGAGGGCAGGGAGGGGAAGGTGGAACACAGGGTAGGGAATAGTTTGGTGCTAGGGAGGGGGGCAATACACAAGAAGTATGAGGGGAATGGAAGAACAAGGCAGATGGACTAAGTGGGACAGAGGTAAATAACGATGTATACACAGCCGGGGAACAACAGGGCTCTGGGACACAGGGATTGTGACATGGTTGGAATGCACGAAAGAGAGGAAATAATGTTAAGATGCTTGGCTGTTTTTTGAAAAAAAGCAAATTGATAAGGCAACTAGTACTATCCTTAGGATCAATTGTTTAAACCAAGACATATTCCCGGCAGGGCTTTTTTCTGTGCTTTAGGGAGTAGAAATGGCAGCCTCTCCAGGCTACTGACTGGAAGTAGAGTGAATTGGGATGCAAAAATTAGAGAAAGACAAGTGGAAGAGTCTTCACCTGTGAGCACTAGCTGGATTTTCAGAGTTTCTTATTCGCCCCTCCCCACAACACTTTCCATAGATTTTCTTTTCACTCTTTTTTTTTAAGGAAAATCACAGCATAGCCCTATAGAAACTGACTATGTACATCATTTCATGTTGTTTTTCTCTTTTACACCTGATATCCCTAAAACAGCTTGATTATGGAATGGCTAGCTTAACTATAAAACATTTTCTTTATTACTGTTTGTCTTGATTAAATAAAAAACTAAAAAATCAGAGATAGTAGAATAAACATAACCTTTAGTGGCTATAACTGACCCTAAAATAAAGGTTATTTAACTTATTTAAAAACCCAAAAAAACAGTAAGGATGGCACAAGTGGGGTGCAGGACCCTATCCAGAGAAGTAGCAACACCAGAGATGAGGACATGGAGAGAGGGAGCAGCTGAGGACTGATGATTCCGGAGTCATGGAAAGAGAGGGACTGGGTACTGGTGGCCAGGAGGCAAGCTTACAGAATATGCTTTTTGGTTGCTTAAATTATTATATTTTCCTGAGTGTTTCTGTGTACACCCCACCCCAAAAGAAAAAAAAAAAGGGAATGGAAGCAAATACTGTTGAATGATGATGAAGCACGGAGAGGAGATTATAATCATTGCAATGAAACGATGGTGTAATGCCGATATTCTCCCATTTAAACTACCACTTTATTTGAAAAAAAAAAAAAAGTTTGTTGTTAAGTGCGTTAAGTGCCACTGAGTTGGTTCTGACTCACAGCGACCCTGCAGAGGATTTCCAGACAGGCTAGTGGTTAGCAGTCCAGAGCTTATCCTACAGTGCTACACCAGGGGCCTCAGAAAACCGGCTATCTTTTGCAGTCTAACAAAATCATAAATTTCATACCAAATCCAAACTCAGCATACCATTAAGAAAGCTCACTGCTTTTCTCAGTCACTAGATATGAGGGCCTGGTGTGTCACAGTAGGATAAGCACTGACTTGTAACTACAAGGTCAGCAGTTTAGACCCAACAGCCTCTCTTGGAAACCTATACAGGGTTACTATGTGTCTGAACCAACTGGATGGTAAACAACAACATGAGGGAACAGCAAAAAAACTTTTAGTTCCAGTTTTTCCATGAACTTTCTGAAGCCCTCTCACAATAATACTGCATATATTTACAAAAACCAGGCCCCAAGAGATTTAAGACACTGCAATTAAAAAGTTACATTTAGCAGTCTCAATCTTCTTCACCCTCACTCCCTATTATCAAGAGTTTGCATAATTCCTAAAATGATGAAGGATCATCAAAAGATAAAAAAGAGAAACTCAGAAAAAAATACAGGAAGCAAAAGACAAGATAAAAAAGAAACTCAGAAGTCACAGGAAGCAGAAGATGACTTTGGAAAGCAGAGTACAATGGGGCTTGTGAGTTGTGGTAAGTGTGGGTTGGGAAGACACTAAAAGAGATGCCTGTGAACTGTGGGAGTAGCTTCCCTCCAGAGACTAACAGCAGCTCCCTGACAACTCATAGTTCTCTCACCTTGTATTTCTTCATTGCACTTGATATACTGTTTATCTTTACTTATTGTCATTGCACAATGACATACTGTTTATTTTTACTTTTTGTCTTTCATATTCCTAACAAGAATGAAACTCCATTAGGTACTCTTGTAATTCTAGTGCCTAAATCAGTACTTGATGCAAAGTATGCCCCAAACAAATAATTGTTAAATGAATTCAAGTAACTGCAGTTGTAAAGACAAGATAAGGGAAACATATCTAATCCAGTTATACACAAGCTTTGAGTTAAAATTTTTTATGACCTACAGCGGTTGCAAGGAGCCAGAGCAGAGCAATGGCTAGGCATTCAGGTGTTAACCAAAAGGTTGGCAGTTTAAATATACCAGCAGCTCCACAGGAGAGACAAATTAGAGATCTGCCCCCATAAAGACTATTGTTGTTGTTAAGTGCCGTCAACTTGGTTCCAACTCATAGTGACCCATAAAGACTACAGTCTTAGAAACCCCATGGGGCAGTTCTACTGTCATATCCAATGGCTATGCGTCAGAATCAATTTGACAGTACATACACTTACAACACAGGGGCGATGAATCATTAGGTATAATGTCGATCAGTTTTATACCCAGGGGCCACGCCAAAATCGAAACAGCACAGGATGTTTCTCATGTTGTCATTTTTACTGATGTCCCCAAAGGGACCACTGGCATTGGTTGACTCTACAGCCCTTTGTTGAAGTCCTGTAGGAAGGATTTATGGTCATCACTGGTCTTACTTCTAGTTTTTTCAAACATGCCTTAAGTAAGTTCTTGACACAAGTTCAAAAACCTCCTAGGAATAGGTGTTTCAGAGAAAAACCTAGGAAGGAGCCACTACACTCTGTGATGTTTTTAAGATTTTACTTGATTAAAAAAACTTCTGTTTTAGTTTCTAACCCAAAACCAAATCCACTGCCATCAAATTGATTCTGCCTCATATACTGTGTTTCCAAGACTTAATCTTTACGGGAACAGATGGCTTCACCTTTCCCCCACAGAGCAGCTGGTGTGTGTGAACTACCAACTTTGCAGTTAGGAGCCCAATGGCTAAAAATGGTCAGCTAAATGACAATCTCATTCTAATGAGGTTTATACAATTTGAACTATTTCATAAGCCATCAAAAATCTACTCAACTCAGTAAAGCAGATATTATTAAGTGATTACTACCTACACCAACTAATGCAGTAAGCCCAGTTTTAGAAAGACATGCAAGCAAATGACAACAATATAAGGCAGGCTACAGTGTGTGGTTCAGCACAGGCATAAACAAAGCACCATAATTCAGGAAAGGCTTTAAAAATTTCAACACCGCAAAAGAATTTGGGTGGTCTGAATAAATATGTTCAATGAGAAAAAAAAAAAAAATTGTTCCATGAAATTTCAACGAAGTTTACAAAGTCTATATTACTTACTGCTTCCATTAAGCCTTTCAAAGATGGCGTCTTGAGCATCAGGGCATCAAAGACTTCTTCTGACTCCTTTCGAACATAGAGCAACACTAATCCCCAGTCCAAAGTAAGGAGGTAAAAAAGAGAGGGGGAGGAATGACACAGTTAATTTATAAAAGCAAAATAAGAAAACAGATAATAAGTAGTGGTTAAAATAAAAACACCTCCACATAAAGGACTACAAACATGAATCAATGTACAATTTGTCTAAAGGAATAGAGTTTTCAAATTCTTTTTTACTCTGCTAGGGTTAAAACTCAAGCTAGACATTGAGCTAATGGAAAAACACTCAAGGACGTGAAGCTGGACAAGGTCTATTTGAACAATTTATGCTTTTGAAAGATTCAAAACTCACTTCTAATTATAAATGCCTCCTAAGAAATCTAAAACAACACACCTCTTTTTGGTTCTTCTAATCGGGTCAGTTTAGCAGGAGGTGGAGTAGCAAAATCATCTTCTGCTCCATATGGCCCCCTTTTCATGTTAGATCTGCAATGGATTCAAAACATGTAGTGACTTCAAAGTCAATGCCAAGTACCCAATCAAGTGCTTAAATAAAAAGAGCTCTATGATATATAGTTGCATTTTAAATTTAAAATGACCTTCATTCTGTATCTGGTCCAGCTTCCTTATTGTGGGGGTGAAAAAATCTGACGTCCAAAGAAACATACTGAATTCACGAGGGGCTCATGGAGTTCTGGTGGGGCACTGTGGGCTAATGTGCTGGACTGCAAAGTCAGCTTGAACCCCAAGGTTGGCAGTTCAAGCTCACCAGCTGTTTCTCGGACACTTTATACAGGGTCGCTATGGGTTGGAGCTGACTGAACGGCACTTAACAATAACAACAACATAGACTATAACTCCAGTGCTCTTATGATAAATTAAGCTGGCTTCTCAAGATGGAGTTTCTTTTCTTTTCATAGAAATTTTACGGAGTAGGTACTGAGATAACATAACTTTGCACAGGTAGTTAGAAAAAAGAAGGAAAGTGGGTGTAGGAAAGGCCAGATTAGCTGAAGCAAAATGTTCCATAGAAGATAAACCTAGAAAGTTAGGCTGGACTCTACTGTGGAATTATCTTGATAGTTAGGCTCTAAGGAATTAATAGATTTTATGGTACAGGTAGTAAGGAATCTTTGATGACGGTTGTGTGAGAAGAGAATATTATCATCAAAGTGTGTGGTAGAGACAGGACCTACAAGAGGAATAACCAGTTAGGAAACTGTTGTGATAACACAGCACAAGGTGATATGGGTTTTAAATAGAGTTGTATCCAATGAAATTAAAAGGGGAGAATAGGCACAGTGGAAGCAACTTCTGTGGCTAGCTATCAAAGGCATAGATGAAGGACTGCTTAGTTAGAGTGAGCTTCAGTGGGGGACCAAGAAAATACTAAAATAACTAAAATAACTACAGGGTCCTGATCTTGGATCCTAAAAACCACTTTCCACTGAAAGGAACCATAGTTCCTTGGAGCAAAGGCTGAATCTAGGGCTAGAGAAGGGAAAATATCAGAGTCTGGAACATCTTATATCAGAAAGCAAAGTAAGTGCTTAGAGAATGAAAGTATGTCCAAAGGGGCCCAGCAGACCGTCTGAACAGCTTCTCCTACTGACCAATTCTGGGACAATTTGAGCAGTAAAGAAAATAGGGTATTGTGGATTCTTCTTATGTAAATAAATGAATAAATTGAATGTCTGATGAAGAATTAGATATTTACAAAATTTCACAGCACCTCCCCACAAAAATATATATCACAAAAAGAAAAAGAGTACTTTCACAGTGGAGAACCTGTCAGATATCAGACACCTTAATCAACTGTTCAGAGTGATCATCATTGAAACAGGACAAACTGAAATTGTGTGCCATGTGACAGGATGCACTGAGAATACCAGAGCACAGTACTTCTATGATATTCCTGGCAAAGATGTATAACCTGAATCTAATCATGAGAAACAACACAACAAAACTGAGATACAGGTGTTAGCTCAGAAAAGTCAAAGAGAGACAAAATTGTTCCAGATTGAAGAGACACAGTCATAAATATAATAATGTATTCTTCTGAAGTGGATCCTTTTTTTATTAATTAAGGACATTATTGGAATAACTGGCAAAACTTCAATGAGGTCTCAGGATTACATGGTGCTACTGTAGCAATGTTAATATCCTAATTTTGACAATTACAGAAGAGAATGACCTTGTTCATAGTACAACATATTTGGGAAGTATATGGGTCATAGGTTAGCAACTTACTCTCAAGTGGCTCAGGAAAAAAATGTTCCTTATACCATATTTGCAATTCTTCTGTAAGTTTGAGATTGCTTTAGAACAAAAATAATTTGTTAAAACAAAACATAAATCTTACCCATCACCCTCCAACTCTTCTGAGGCAATGGGGAGAACCTAAAACCAAAATACATATTGTTTTAAAAATATGCTGAAAATGTTTCAGATTATAAATAAATTATTCCTCAAATAGGAATAATTTTGAATTTGAACAACCCAATACAAAATCCCTTAGCCTTATTTTTCAGTAACCAGTTTTTATAGATAATGAGGTAAAGGAGTGAGGGGGAGGAATGGCTACTCTAACCTAGGGAGAAGCACACTATGGCCATAGGGCCTAATGGTTATAGTTTTATTGGCACACAACCATGTTCAATTATTTCAATTTTATTTGAGACTATTTCTGACCTACAATGCAGAGCTGGAAAGCCATGACAAGAGACTGAATGTACCTAAAAGCCTAAAATATTATTTTATTACTATGTGCCAACTTCGGCCCCCTACCCCCAAGGTTCTTATTAGAATTCAAACATACTGGAAATGGCTTCCCAAGAACTCTGAAAACCATTAGTCCTTAAATATCTGTCTTTAAAAATGCACAGTATACCATCTTTTTCTATATCTGTTTGAATTCAGCATAAAAAGCATACTCCACTCTAAGTTCCTATGTCTACCAAGCTTTTGCCACAAAGCAGGGTGTGACTATTTTTTAAACTTAGCATTATTTGCCAAGACATGGTTGTACTACATGTGCTGATGAGTCAGTAACTGAAACCATGAGAAGAGCCTTCAGATGTGCTCTGTGTCATGAAGGCTACCCACCCTAGTTGTTTCACTGGCTCTTCCTATCTATCCAAACTCTGTTTTGAATCATCTAGAACACCCACATGTCTGTGTAAAATTACACATACAAAATCATACTTTCAAACTTTATATATGTTACTATTGTCGAATCTTTTAAAAAGAGCTAAGATACAGAATTAAGTTGACAGGCTTGGTAATGCATTCCCAAATTCAAAAAGCTTAAGCTTAACACTTTGTATCGCAAGGTCATCATGTCATCCCAGCTCACCCTTAATGCTGAATCCAACCTTACTAAACACTGACTTCTAGTGAACATGAACAATGCCAAAGCCTTTCTTTTTGTCAGGTCTTACTTTCTTGCGGTCACCCCTGGGATACTGGTTACCTACATGAGTGCCCCGTTGAAGGTTGGCAAAATGCACATCAGGAATGAAGAGGACAGGCTGAGTATCAAGATCAATAAAAGGTTTGAAAACCGTAATATCCATTCGTTTGTGAGAGGGAAGAAGTGGCACTTTAACATCAGAAACTGGAAAAAAAAAAAAAAAGAAAGAAATGAGGAAACCAAAGTCAATAGATTACATACACAAACTGGATGCAGGCTATTTTTCTCAATGTCTAAGAAATTTAAAGTAAACACTATAGCACTCACAATATAAGGTTTAAGTCAGATTTTCTGAACTCAGAGAAAAATCTGTTTAGGTGAAGAAATATGCTGTATGAATTTATACCCAAATCAATTGAACAGCTTTTCCAAATCAATAGAAAAAAGGGATTTTTTAAACACATCTAGACAGACACACATGGAAGAACTGGAACAGAAGCAAACAATATTTACTTTCTGTCTGTAAGACTAAAACTTGTAATTGTATAAACATAATTTGGAAGTAAGTTCACCTTAGTTGTTCTCATTAAATCGTTTATGTTCTAACAGCAATGTGCATTCCAGAACATACTGGAAGCTCAACACTGAGGTCAAAAGTAAGCATGATTATCTAATTTTTAATTTAATAAATTACAGACTCTACCTTCCTCTATAATCTGGCCCTGAATATGTACTGACAAGGTTTCCTAGTTAGTTAGCTATACTCTGAATGACATCGGAGGCTTGCACTTTGATGCCAGGAGGACTAGCCTGACTAATGTGCTGCAGGCAAATGTCTGCTTAGCCAGACAGCCTGTTCAAAGAACCATGCTGGAAGCCCACGCACTATATGGGAAAAACTACAAGCAGAGAGCAGCTTTTTTTTTTTCCCCTTTCTTTCAGTTGAGACAAGCTTTGTGAATGTGAATACTGGCCATATTAAAAAATTAATAAGAAGAAAGAAATGAAGCTTTCCTAGTGAAATGTCCAAATGTATAAGGCGCTATAGATTTTGCAAATGCTAGAAAACTATATTCACTGGGAATTAAGACTTAGACAATCAGCTATTCAGGTAGAATATAAGTTGTTTTTGAGAACTGAGCTAGAAATTACAGCCAAAAAAAGCCTGAGCTCTGAAAAAACTTCCCCCAGAAAATTATTACGTTAGCAGTCATCTGTTTTCCACCAAAAATATCCAAGGCATCGTTCTAAATGGGAAAGGTCTGAAACGCTACTTACAGGCATTCAACTGGGAGCTGGGGTCAGTACACTTGCCTTTTCTTTTGCTTTGTTTTCGTTCTTCATCCCTGATTTTCCGTTCAGCTCCCTGTATGCCAAGAGAAGATGGGATTCGTTTGATCTGAGCTGTTAGACTATTTAACTCTTTTCCTGACCAATGAATGGGTGTGTGTGTGAGACTCTCCTTTCTGGAGCCAAAATTAATTACTTATTAGACTCATGACACTTAATGATAGTTACCTCATTTTAAAAGCCTATTCTTAAAATTAAGTGGACTGCTCAAGGTCAGTTTGAACCATGTAGGTAAGTTCAAACTCACCAGTCGCTCCTTGGAAACTCTGTACTGGATCGCTATGAATCGGAACCAACTCACCAGCACTTAACAACAACAACAACAAAACAAACCACAGAGAAACCTTTACATGCATTTTAGCAAATAAAGCAAAATTCCTCTGATTCATGGATGTGGCCATGTTAAACCAAAAGCTTAAAAAATATTATAATGTAACACTGCCTTCAATGAAATGAGTATATCTTCCCTTTGTCTAGTTGTTGTTAAGCGCCATCGAGTTGGTTCCAACTCATAGCAGAGACCCTGTATAGGGTTTCCGAAGAGTGGCTGATGAGCTTGAACTGCCAACCTTGTGGTTCAAACCAACCTTGCAGTCCAGCACATTAGCCCACAGTGCCACAACAGAACTCATCCCATAAGAAAAAAAAAAAATATAGGCTGACCTTCATCCTTTTGAGTAAATTTTCCTACATGAGCAGTGTTGTAATTACGATTATTCACAAGATTAGTGATTCAAACCCACCATGGGAGAAAGATGAGGCTTTCTGGTCTCATAAAGGTACAGCCTTGAAGACCCTAGGGAGCAGTTCTATCCTACCCTACAGGATTCACTATGAGTTAGAATCAACTTTGTGGCAGTGGGCTAGGTTTTTGGTTAAGTGAGAGATATGACCAACTTATAATTCACAAAAACAATGAGATAACTACGTTCATTTAAAAGAGAAAAAGTGTACACACAGCCCTATAAAAAGGACATATGTATACATACTATAAATAATGATATGTAGTTCAACTGAACCCACAATTTTTTTTTAAAGAATCCTATGAGCTCTGGTAGTGTAGTGGTTACGAATCGGGCTGCGAACCTGAAGGTCAGCGGTTCGAAACTACCAGCTGCTCCGCGGGAGAAAGATGAGGCTTTCTACTCCCGTAAAGATTTACACCCTCGGAAACCCTGTACAGGGTCACTATGGGTCGGAACTGACTCGACGGCACTTAACAACAACAACAACAATCAGTAATAACACGATCTGAAATAGCTCTAAAATTAAAAACCTGGGGATACAAAATTATATAATTTCACCTGCTATGTCCCTTAGGAGTCCTGGTGTGGCACTTTAGGATAAAACACTGGACCTCAAGGTCAGTTTGAACTGCAAAGTTGGTGGTTCAAATTCACCAGCTGCTCCTTGGAAACCGTATACAGGGTCACTATGTAACAATAACAACAACCCCAGCAGGAAGGAGAAAATAGGTAATGAATATTTGTAGGGGCTTAGAAAGAAAGCCTTACCCCATGACGGCTAAGGGTATTTCAGTGTTTATTGAATCAGACTCCACAAAACACCATTAGAAGTAGACTCTAATTTTTCTAACCATGTTTTACCTTGACTTTCTTTTACCCCCTCATATTGCTTATACCTAAGTGATAAAATCAAACAAAAACATGGTGATTGATGACGGTGGCTTGTATATTTGACATACTATTCAAGACCTTGATAACATGTTCCCATTACCTGTGATTTAAATAAACTGATGAGCAGGCAAGAAGTAGCACCAGGAGATGAAATCATGTGTTGTCCCAACCACATTCTCTGATAACTTTGAAGAAAAGATTTTGTTTTGCTTTATTTTTTAAATTCTTATTGTGAACTGGGTGAAGGTTTATGTACAGAGCACACCGTTGCTTTACATTAGACTATTCATGTAGTTTATTTCATCTCAGTGACTGTAATCGCCTCAATGCAACACTATTCATACCACTTCCTCCCTGTGTTTCCTCTTTCTTTCCTAACACTTCTGGACTCTGACATTTGGACAAATGCTACCCTTTTGATCTCAAATCGTTGATTATTCTAAAGTGTGTGTACTTCCCTAGTGTTACTGTTCCTCTTATAGACCTATCTATTATTTGTCTGAAAATTTAGTGGTGAGGGAGGGTGGGCGGTGAGCTCTTTTCCAGACCTGAAGGGTGATTAATTGCCATAGTCTCGGGGTTCCACCAGTCTATCCAACTCATAAGCCTGTTTTCTTTGTGCTTTGAGTTGTGTCCCACATTTTTCTCCCACTCTATCCAGGACCTTCTAATGTGATCCCTTTCAGAGCAGTTGGGACTAGCAGCAAGGTACCATCTAGTTCTTCTGGTCTCAAGGTAAAGAAAAGTCATTTTGCTTCCCAGAATACAATAGCAACACAGTTTTTAAGCACACACAGAGCAAACAGAACTGGTTGCTAAACTTTGTACCCCTACTAATGAATAAAAATACTGGACAGTTCATGAAAGCTTTTCTATATTTTGTTTTCTAAATGGGTTACCTACCCAGGAGTCTGGAGTCCTGATGTGGCACTAGAGAATAATGCACTGGACTTCAAGGTCGGTTTGAACCATAAGGTCAGAGGTTCAAAATCACCAACCACTCCTCAGAAACCCTATACAGGGTCACTGTAAGTCAGAACCTACTCAATGGCACTTCATCACCACTAGCACACACAGGAGTCTCCCTCGAAAAGTGCTGATACTGCCTGGTTGTTAAGTGCCACTGAGTTGGTTCCAACTCCTAGCAACACTGTATAGGATTTCCAAGAAGTGGCTAGATGGTTTGAACTACCAACCTTTCACTTAGCAGTCCAGTGCTTATTCTACAGCACCACACCAGGATACTGCCTTGTCATTTTTGCAGGTAAACAATGCTGTCAAGTTGGTTCTGACTCATAATGACCCTGTATAGGGTTTCCAAAGAGTGGCTGATGGGTTTGAACCATTGACTTTGAGGTTAGCAGTCCAGTGCCTATCCTACATCACCATACCAGGACTCCAGGATACTGCCTAAGGGCCTGAAACCTAAGGTTTGAAGTCAGTATTTGACTCCTACCTTTAGGCTTTAAAATCAAAAGCAACCTTGAGGTGCCTCCAGCTCGGCCCTAAGGGGAGGTGTCGCCGGTTGGTGGAGGGAGGTGGCGCAAGAGGTTCGGCAGCTGATGGCGTCTCAGGGTCACAGTCATCTCCTCTAACGCTTCCCCTCTGTCCTGGAGCCCCTTCACTGGATTTACAATGATATCCTTTCAATTATCCCATTGTAGACGTCCAACTTTGCACATGTCATCTTTCAAAATGTGGCCAAGAGTTATCTACCTAATGCACATCTGGAATGTCATTACACCTTAACTCCATATATCCATCCACATTCAAAAGATTGGGTTAGTATATTCAAGGTTGGGTGGAGTACTGAGCGTGATTATTACACATTTTTGTGGTCCCCTATGCCTGAACATTATATTATGTTGAAGGATCAACAGTCAATTGTGTTCTAGCATTTCAAGGATATTACCTTCCAAATGATGATGGAGAAATTTATCAATTCTGTTATGTTACCCATAAGAGTGAAATCTGTGGAGCAAGTACACCTTTCCAATTTTAAGCTGCTTCTCCAGTTGAAGAATTGCTTATTATGGAGGATGAAGGAAATTCTGACATGTTGGTGGTGACCACAAAAGCTGGCCTTCTTGAGTTGAAAATTGAGAAAATCATGAAAGAACTGTTAAAGTTAATTGCAGTTTTGGAAAAAGAAACTACACAACTTCAAGAACAAGTTGAAAGAATGGAAAGTGAACTTAACCATGAGAAAGAAAAATGTGACCAGTTACAAGTAGAGCAAGAGGGTTTTATTGAAGTATCACAAAATTTGAAAATGGAAAATGAAGAATTTAAGAAGAAATGCGATGATGTTACATCAAAAGCTCTCCAGCTTGAAGAAGATATTGTGTCAGCGACACACAAAGCAATTGAAAAAGAAACTGAACTAGACAGTTTAAAAGACAAACTCAGGAAGGCAAAACATGAAAGAGAACAACTGGAAAGTCAGTTGAAGACAGAAAAGGATGAAAAAGAAATATACAAGATACATTGGAAGAACACAGAAATAGAAAATACCAAGCTTGTGTCAGAGGTCCAGACTTTAAAGAATTTAGATGGGAACAAAGAAAACATGATCACTCATTTCAAAGAAGAGATTGGCAGACTACAGTTCTGTTTGGCTGAAAGGAAAATCTTCAAAGGACAGTTTTGCTTACTTCAAGTAAGGAAGACCTATTTTATTTAAGGGAGCAACTTTGTAAAGCGGAGGAACAGGTTCAGGCTACTGGGCAAGAAGTTACCTTTCTGGCTAAAGAGCTTAGTGATGCTGTAGGTGTCCATGATAAGATGATGGCAGATCTACATACCACACGTTTGGAAAATGAGAAAGTTAAAAAGCAGTTAGCAGATGCAGTGACAGAACTTAAACTGAATGCTGTAAAAAAAGATCAGGAAAAGACTGATACACTGGAACATGAGCTGAGAAGAGAGGTGGAAGATCTGAAACTCCGCCTTCAGATGGCGGCAGGTCATTATAAAGAAAAATTCAAGGAATGCCAGAGGCTCCAAAGATAAATAAACAAACTTTCAGACCAATCGACCAGTAATAATGATGTCTTCACAAAGAAAACTGGGAGTCAGCAGAGAGTGAATGATGCCTCAATAAACACAGACCCAATCACTCTGATTTCTCCTGTCGTTGCAAGGCCAACGCCTTCTGCAGCTGAGACTGATTTTGATATTGTAACAAAGGAACAAGTCTGTGAGATGACCAAAGAAATTGAAGACAAAACAGAAAAGTACAAAATATGTCAACAACTCTTACAGGATGAGAAAACAAAATGCAATATATATGCTGATGAACTTGCAAAAATGGAGTTGAAGTGGAAAGAACAAATGAAAACTGCTGAAAATGTAAAATGAGAACTAGCTGAAGTAGAGA